TAAGTTTTAAGGAACGACAATCATACAGCGTAATTATAATTTTTTTTCCGGACTTTCGCACACACATACACACACACACACACACACATATATATATATATATATATATATATATATATATATATATATATATATATATATATATATATATATATATATATATATATATATATATATATATATATATATATATGGGAGGGCGCCAAACTGAAAGTTCGCCCCGGGCGCCGGGAGGGGTCGCTACGCCTCTGAGTAAAGCTTGTTGTGAGAGTGAGTGAGCTCAAAGGTCAAGGACGAAGAGCTGTACCCGATGCAGGTCATGACACAGGTATCGATGTGTTTACTTTAGCCTTGAGTGGCGCGTGCCGTGGTGGGTTATCAGGTCGACGAGTGAGTGGGGGGGGGGGGGGTGAAAATAGGGGGGGGGGGCTAGGTAAGACGGTATACTTATGACGTCATGCGCTGCTTACCGTCAGTCGATGACGCGCCGCATGCCTCAGATCAATGGCGCTCACCTGCACGCCACGTGCGTGCTCGCCACGGGTAATTAGAGGCGGAGAAATCAATGATCCGTGACGCTTCATTCATGCCAGCCACAGTTAGTGCCATGGTGTTAGGGTTAGTGTTAGTGGGCTCAACTTTACTTTTAAATACTTTTAATCCTTTTCAACTTGTAGTTTTGGTACAATAAAGCTTATTATATATATATATATATATATATATATATATATATATATATATATATATATATATATATATATATATATATATATAGCCTATATAATGAAATCTGGTCTTCTAAAATAAGACCTAGCCAAATCTGTGCTGACATATACTAATTATAATTAAATTTCCATGTTTATTTTATACTGTAAAATGTCCTCGACATAATAACGATACACAAACTAGATGATGATATTTTTATAGTCAGCTCGGAATAGTTTCCTACAAATCATCCCTCCCCCACACCGACCTACCCACGTTCCACCCTCTACCTTACCCACCCTGCACTGAACTACCCCACCCCACCCCACCCTCTAACCCACCCCTCAACTCCACCCATCCCTCTACCGACCCACCCCCACCCCAGCCCCCCACATACATCTAGCACCCATCCCTTCCCTAATGTGTGCCACACCTCCAGGTTTATGAACCTCCCAACCAGGTAAAAATCAATCCCACACCTTTCATAGACCTGGCCACATCAAGATTTCTCTTGTAAAAATCAATTTTTGTCTACCCTGTGCATTGGTATCGGTAAGATTTTGAACGCGGTGATTAAATGATTAACTTTAATGTGTTGATTTAATGGCAGCGGAATTTTAAGCTGGAATAACACAATATTCTTGATGTAGGTCATGGTGCACGCGAGTTGACGTCATGATGTGTCTAGGTGTATGACATGTCACAGTCCGGTTTAACACACGTCATGACCCATCTAACACGTCATGACCCACCTGACAAAAGTCATGACCCCCACCTAGCACACGTCATGACCCATATCTACCACATCGCATAGCCCAGCTAAACAGATGTCATGTAAACACCTGTGAACATAAATGTCAAGTGCTGCATAATGTCATGTGCAGTATGTGCCCCTGCCCAATTACAATCACGTCAACGTCACCCATCGTACGACGAATGTCCTTCGACGCATAACAAATGTCACCCATCGTATAACAAATGTCATTCAAGATATAAGAATGTCATCCAACGTACAACGTTATCTGACAACCTTGATGTTAACGTCAGCTCTCCAATACACGAATCAAATGCTAATACGTCCTAATAAGCTGACGTAATATGTAATTAATTGGCTTAAGTTCTTAGTTTTAAAATATCCAGGGCCACCCCCCCCCCCCACCCCCATATGACAGCCGTCTATAAGACATTTTCGTTGATTAAAAAAAAAACACCTAACAAATTATAACCCCCCTCCTTTCCCCAACCCCTACCCCCCCCCCCCGGTTAAAGCAAACTCCTCTTAGTTACCTCCCCTAAGTTTAAAATCGTTTCAAACTACATTATCTACCCCTAATAGCCGTCACTAAACCGGCTCTACGATTGTAAACATTTAGCGTGAACCACATCTCACCAGACCATGTAGGGGTGGGGGGGGGGGTGGTTGGGAGCGCGCTTACAGCTTGGTGTTTGCTAACTTCTCCAGGAAGAGCATTATATATATATATATATATATAGATAGATAGATAGATTTTGTCTTGTAAATGTCCTCTATCCCCAGTAAACATAAAGTCCCAAGCTAATCCGGGTTTAAATCTGACATAAGTATCGATACTACATCACATTCAATGAGACATAATCGATATCTGATTGTAACGTGATGAATGAATACCGTTCATAGAGTCGGCCTTCTGACAGCCCGCTCATGTCTCAAGGGATTTAAGCAGTCTGTTCATTTAACTTTAGAGTTATGCCGCTTTGTTTTCCGTCACCTCCACGACTAAATGAGACTTTCATCACAACTGGTTGCCTAGCAACGAGATGTTGTTGTCTAGTTGATAGCTGGCTAGTGGGAATCGTTGGAATTGAGACCGAGAACGGAAATAATTAAGAAAGTTATTAGCAAATATTTCGCAGATTTGAGGAATAATAAACCGGGAGTGATCTCCCCTAAACTCTCTCGAATATTCTAATATAACACTATGGGGGATGGCAACTCGGGATATAGACTTCTAGACATAATTTTTAATCCATTTTAATTACTCAAATTTTTAAAAATAGAATATAATCTCGTAGAAAAAAGAAATGCACACCAAGTGAACGCTAAATAAAGATGTGCATAATAGTGCGCAATCTTATTAGTACTTTATAAATTTACATGCGTTTTTTGAGAAATCGGAAATTGCGTAAATAAGTACTTTCGGTCAACGGAAATTACTCAAAATTTGACAGAAGGTAGAGAATTAGATCTTTTACTTACTATCAAATTTCATTTATCTATCTGAAATAGTACTCAAGTTATAGGCTTTTGAAAAATTCAAAGTAGAAAAAGTACCACTTCCGGTTATCGGAAATCGCTCAAAAGTTGATACGGATCTACGATTTTGATAAAATACTTGTATATGAAATTTCATCAACCTAGCTGTAACGGTACTCAAGTTATCGTGTTTACACACGGACATACACACACACACACACACAGACATACGGACAAGATTGCAAAATTATGATTTTCCGTATCAGTGAGATGTAAAACGTCGAGATTTGTAAAAATCTTGGTTTTTTTTTTGCACGATTACAAGACTTTCTCTATACTTCGTATATACGAGAAAGTAAAAAACGCAAAATGTGTACTGGGTGCTTAACTGGATTAATTAAGAAATTAATTATCACAGGCTTTAAAGCAATAAAACAATCTAGAATTTAAATGATTATGAAACAGACTGATCTGTTATAATTATGTTAAAAATGTAGTTGATCAATGAAATAATTAATTAAGAAATAATATTCTCAATAATCTAATTGGACAATATATTTAAAGCACAGAAATTAAATATTTTATGGATTAAATATTAAGTTATTCTATTTAATTTATTTAATATTCGTTTCTAAATTATTCTTTAGTAAAAGGTGTGAACTTAATGAAGTGTTAATTAATAGTTTGAATTTTGACTAGTGTATAATCATATATTAGTTTTTAATCAGAGCTAAGTGCGGAATGTTGCGATGTAGAAGATGTTGATGCGTTGCAACATGCAACTAGAGTTGATTTTAAAATCGTTTTGGCTGTCATGTAATTATAAAATATCTGAATCAGATTATCTGCTTATCTGTCAGGAAACTACGTTCTCGTCATATTTCATGTCTGTCTGAAAATTAATGTATCATTAACACATCTCATTAACGTGAATTTTAGCCACTGTCTAATGATCTGATTGAACGCACTTATTAACCCTGACCTCTCCATGTCAAACTGCCGGCAAACCGGCTTTTTTATGGCAGCTGCCGGTACACCGGCTTTTGCACGGCTTCAAGTTGTCTAATGACGTCAGCCATCTCCTGTCTGTTACATAACCAATTAACGTGATGTAATTCTTACATAACTAAACACATTATAAGTTAACAATGGCTGGGAATTTACAAAAAGGCGTCGTTACATTCGTCTGTTAAACGTATGTCTAACATCATGTGCTGTATGTATGTCTGGAATTCTGTGCTGCATGTTTGTCTGACAATCTCTGCAGTGTTAATGACATCCTGTGCTATGTGTCTGACATCGGTGTGTATGTCTGACACAGGCTTGAAAAACATGCGGCTATTTTCTTCTCCAAAGTTGTAAGGTTTGTCATGCAACAGTGTTCTATGGTTCAATAAAAAATGCCTCGTTGTCTTGACTGTGGCCTATAATCGTCACAGACTGCCTGTTTGACCTATAACCATGTGCTACGTCCACGTAACAATGTCCTACAACCCTGTAACAATGCCCTACAAGTCCCAATGTCCTACAATCAATAATAATGTCCTATAGTCTTGTAACCGTGTCCTATATCACTGTAACAATGTCTTACAGTCCTATAACACTGTCCTCTATTCTTGTGACAATGTCCTACAACCATATACCATGCCATATGGGCATGTAACAATGTCCTGCAACGTTGTAACAATGTCCTACAGTACACTAACATTGTCCTACAATCTTGTGACAATGTCCTGCATACCTATAACCGTGTCCTATAGTCTTGTAACCATGTCCTACATCACTATAACAATTTCCTACAGTCCTCTAACTGTGTCCTCCCCCTCCACAGACAGCCTGTTTGTCCTATACCCATGTCCTACGTCCATGCAACAATGTCCTACAATAATATAACACTGTCCTTCAGTCTTGTGACAATATCCTACAGTCCTCTAACCGTGTCCTATAGTCATGTAACCAAGTCCTACACCACTATAACAATGTCCTACAATCCTCTAACCATGTCCTACATCACTACAACAATGTCCTAGAGTCCTCTAACCGTGTCCTCTCCTCTCCACAGACAGCAACTTTGTCCTGGGTAACGCCCAAGCCAGCGGCTGGCCTATCGTCTACTGCTCAGATGGCTTCTGTGAGCTCACCGGCTACTCACGCGCCAATGTCATGGCCAAGGGTTCCGGCTGCCGGTTCCTGTACGGCACGGACACCAGCGAGACGGAGACGGCCAAGATACAGGAGGCGCTAGAGGAGAAGCGTGAGCTGAAGACGGAACTACACCTGTACCGCAAGAATGGTGAGTACACGTGCACGTGTGGGGTGTAAGTGTACCGCAAGAATGGTGAGTACAGGTACACGTGCATGTTGAGGTGGGGTGTAATCGTACCGTAAGAATGGTGAGTACAGGTGCATGTTCAGGTGGGGGGGGGGGGTAAGTGTACCGTAAGAATGGTGAGTAGATGTGCATGGGCATGTTCAGGTGGGGGGGGGGGGGGTAAGTGTACAGCAAGAATGGTGAGTAGACGTTGGGTGGGGTGGTGAGTGTACCGTAAGAATGGTAAGTACACGTGCACGTGGGGGGTAAGTGTACCGCATGAATGGTGAGTATATGTGCACGTGGGGGGGGGTAAGTGTACAGCAAGAATGGTGAGTACACGTGCACGTGGGGGGGGGGGGTAAGTGTACAGCAAGAATGGTGAGTACACGTGCACGTGGGGGGGGGGGGGTAAGTGTACAGCAAGAGTGGTGAGTACACGTGCACGTGGGGGGGGGGTAAGTGTACCGCAAGAATGGTGACTACACATGCATGTTCAGGTGGGATGTAAGTGTACCGTAAGAATGGTGAGTACACATGCATGTTCAGGTGGGGTACAACTGTACTACAAGTATAGTATGTATACACGTGAAGTATGTCTACAGACGCGTGCACGTTCATGTGAGTTAAAACTGAACAACAAATTTGGTGAGTACATGACAGGTACGGCTCACCTACAAGGTCACCAGACAGTGAGTACGCTTGGCGTGAACACAATCTCATTAGAAGCGTAAAGATTCGAACCCTCACCTTGACATATACATCTAACTGGTCTCAACCCCTCAACTCATGACATCATATTTAACCCAATTAAAAATCGATATCAGAAAAAAACTGTTTTCTACTGTTAGCGATTAAAAACTAACAGCAATCTTGTATTTTTAAAAATGCTTTGAGAAAATATGATTTTACACAGGTTTTTGTCAATAAAAATAGTTTGATATTATTATATATCTTACCAACTTATTAGTGTTTTCAAGAAATTTTTCAACCGAACTTTTAACGATGTTAAATAAAGGTTGAAAAGTGTTTGCAGTCTACATATAGTCTATCTGGTGCACAGCCCATACACAGACAGGAACACCTTCGTATACACACATACACTTACATACAGATTCGCACACACGTATAAACATATACAAAAACACACATACACACTTACGTAACCACTCACGTCATCAACGAAAAAAACGCAACAAGCAACTTATTATGATGTCATCACGACATCGAGCAGACGACAAAATTCAATTCTCAGGGTAAATAACTCCTGAAGCTGAGGCTGTGCCCGCGCATAAACCAGGGGAAATAACCGGTAAAATGCCAGTTTTATAATGTCGCGTCTCCTAGGTTCGCTCCCGTTATGGCTGCGATGTGATAAATTTAGACCAAACAATTATTGTCCGGCATGCAGCGCGCAGTGGAATGTTTGAGTATGATAATTTTATGCTGTTTTGTTCCGGTATTTTTTTTCGTTAGAAAGTAAACGATGTTCGCCTGAGTAGCTTGCCCTTAGATACAAGGTCAGCGTTGTAATTAAGGGGGATGAACCATGGGTTATTGACCCTAGTCGAACCACGGGTTAAGTGACCCTAGTTGAAGCATGGGTTAGTGACTACTATTTAACAATATGGTAGTGACCCTGGGTGGTGTAAGGGTTAGCGTCCTTGTTTAACTATTGGCAAGAAACCCGTACTGTTCCACGTTGCTCTTGATGTACTCATCTAATGTAACTAATCGAATATAGCTAGTAGCATTTACACATATACACATACATACACACACATTAAAATTACAGCTTTAATGTCACACACACCACACACACCTCAACATCACCACTGAACCCACGCTTCCGTCCACAATTCATCGAGACTACAAATCTAAAAACTTTTAACTTTAAATTGATCGGTTACTTCCCTTTCTCTTAAGTATATTGGTGAATAATATTATTTTTTATAACCCTTTAATTTTATAACACTCTTTCACCTTTGTTATGTAACCCTGTATAAAATCACGTGATCTTGTGAGTATTGTCACGTGACCTTATGAGCCCTCCAATACTCATTTATCTCACATGGCAATCTTGGTGCACTGGACGACGTCACGATGACGTCACAAGACCATCAAAACGAAAATCGCCCATACTAACCCCGCTTTTCTAAAGCCTTCAAATGACGCTATTCATTACCGACGCCCCACCCTACAGCTGACACCCACCGTTATCGCCCTCCTACCCTGAGGTAGACACCCGCCATTGCCTACGCCCCACCCCGGGTGCTATCGACATGAAAAGTCAACAAACCTCCATCACGCCAATCTTTAACCTACCACTGTATACCCCATCAAATCGTCACCCCAGTGAACTCTATGATATTTACACTGCAGACACCGCCACAGGTTCACCTCAGTTCACCTTAAGTGGCACGGTAACGGATCCATTTTGACCAATTTTATCAAAGTTCATGGCCGTTTTTTAAACCTCCTAGCCACCTGTTTTTTTGACAGTTTTCATTTACCCCCCTCCCCCCATCCTACATTGTCCTTGATTTTTGTAAAACCTAAGATTTTAAATCTATTCACCCCCCCCCCTCCATTCCATACACACACAAAAAAGTCCACATTTCCACTGCTCGAACGCCACCAAACAAAATCTCTTTGATTCCCACCTTTTATAGGACCCACCTCCTTTAGGATTAGCCACACTCCACTCCTGTTCTTTAGTAGGACATATCTTCCCCTCCTTTAGTAGGACTCCTCCCCCCCCCATTTTATATTTACACCCCCCCCCCCCCCACCTCCCCAACCCGTACATTTCAATTATCTGGCTTACCGATCGAACGGGTTCAAATATTAATGGAGCAGAAACAAAAGAGACCAATGTAACCGGAGAATCTGCTCTTGTATTAGCTCCAAGTAGGACATTACAAACCGCATAACGTATTTTTTTTCTCTCGACACGCATACATACTCGCGACACACACATACGCATAATTAACACTTGTCCACACACAACAAACGCTCACACACAAACACGTGTAAATAGCTCGCAACAGCAAAATAAAATAACTTTTTGGTTGAACCTTTTACAATTCTAAATTTACTTTATGAAATATATTGATGATTTACATATATTGCAACGTACAAGCACGCACGACTTACTAACACACCAATACATGCATGAATGTTCAGAAACACGCAAACACACACACACACACGCACAAACATACACATACGTGCACACCCAATCTCTCACAACCATATATATGCGTACGCGCGCGTACATCAACTCCCACCTCCACACCCAACCAGCCACACCCACACCCACACTCACACCATTTGTAACGTAACTCATCAATCCCTACTAGTGACGACCACTATCTCCAGATAAAAAACCCTTTTCAACCAATCACAACTGTTATTACTACTCGCTATTATTGTGCCATCCAATCGTAATTAACATCTCTGTTGTCAAGCGAGCTTTATTTAACCTAGGCTACGTCATCAGCAGACACTGGTGACGTTTATCACCATTTTATCACACACGGTGAGGCACTCGTCACAGAAAGTTTCTATTTTTAGCCCAGTGTTTGACTGGTGTAATTACCGCAACAGGACATTAAACGTTGAGACATTCTCTTGTGCTGACTCTCGCAACATACTATTTTGTTTGATGGAGAGACTTTAAAAAAAATTCTCTTCAAACTAACTGTGTAGCTTTGTTTTATAAATTTAAAAAATAACATAAATAGCTAAGAATACTAAAAAGGAAGTGTAAACTCTGATATAGCAAAAAACTACTACGGAACAAGTGATTTTTAGATTAAAATATAATCTAGACGCAATAGGAGAGAGGACATCAAGGAAAGGACTAGGCTGCTTTGGAGAATTACTTAAAGCGTCACAAGACCGAGAAAGATAGATATTTTAAAAAACAAAAACAAACTAAACTGTGATGTTCCCCATCCCCTTCCGCCCCCTGTACAACATAGTGGTTGTGTGATGATTGATTGTTTGAGTGATTGTCAACTTTATTTAATAATATAGTGCTCTCATGGACACTATTCGTGACTTTCTATTTTTATGAACCAATTTAACGCCATATGCTAACACCCCAGGCTAACATCCCACGCTAATACCCCACGCTAACATCCCACGCTAACACTAACACTAACTAACCATCCACTAACCATCCACTCCCCTCCACACTCCACTAACCATCCACTCCACACTCCACTAACCATCCACTCCACACTCCACTAACCATCCACTCCCCTCCACACTCCACTAACCATCCACTCCTCTCCACATTCCACTAACCATCCACTCCTCTCCACATTCCACTAACCATCCACTCCTCTCCACATTCCACTAACCATCCACTCACCTCCACACTCCACTAACCATCCACTCCCCTCCACACTCCACTAACCATCCACTCCTCTCCACATTCCACTAACCATCCACTCCTCTCCACATTCCACTAACCATCCACTCCACACTCCACTAACCATCCACTCTCCTCTACACTCCACTAACCATCCACTCCCCTCCACACTCCACTAACCATCCACTCCTCTCCACATTCCACTAACCATCCACTCCACTAACCATTCACTTCACACTCCATTAACCATCCACTCCACACTCCACCAACCATCCAATCCACACTCCACTAACCATCCACTCCACTAACCATCCACTCCACTAACCATCCACTCAACTAACCATCCACTCCACTAACCATCCACTCCACTAACCATCCACTCCACTAACCATCCACTCCACTAACCATCCACTCCACTAACCATCCACTGCACACTTCACTAACCATCCACTCCCCTCCACACTCCACTAACTATCCACTCCCCTCCACACTCCACTAACCATCCACTCCCCTCCACACTCCACTAACCATCCACTCCCCTCCACACTCCACTAACCATCCACTCCACACTTCACTAACCATCCACTCCACACTCCACTAA